TCACAATTGAAAGGAACACCATCAACATGACGTGGCAGTCATGTGCGTTGAAGCTGGTTAGTGTGAGGTCCTTAATCAAGACCAGGCTTTTGATGTTGGAAGACAAACCAGTTGACATCTTGATACCCCTAAGCCACTAGCACACGGCCCTCTTCTCTTCTCTCGTCAGGTTGTAGCTCGTGCCCGGAAGGTCCACTTTCCCACTCTGCGTCGCCGGTGTTGGGTGAATTTCGGTCCTGATGTCCTGGTTGATAAAATCCATCCATGACTTTAGGCCATCCTTTGTCTTAGTCTTGATGTCTAGCAGTACGTCAATGGTGCTTTCGAAGACATTCTTCTCAAGGTGCATGCAGTCGATGGCATGGGGCGTATCTAGCTTCTTCCAGTACGACAGGTACTTGAAGAAACACGACTACTTCTTGAAAGGAATGGGGGCGACAGGTGGTTCCTCCATCTTATCCCGCTTCCTCTTCTTCCTTGTCATGGTCCTATCTTCCTCTTTCTTCTTCTTCTTCCCGAACTCAACGTCTATGCCCTTCATCATGTCAAACGCCTTTTGCCCATACCTGTGCTTTTTGATGAGGAATCGCCTATGCCTCATGTACACCATCTTCTTGGATGCATTAAGGTAAGTGTACCATGTACCGTTAATGCAAACTACGCAACTTGACTTCCCTTTGATCTGCCCCGACAATGAAAAAAGACTAGGGTAATCGGTGATGGTGACAAAAATGATGGCTTTTAGAGTGAACTCCTTTTTTAGGGACGCATCCATCATCTTGATCCCTTCTTCCCATAGTATCTTCATGTCCTCCATGAGCGGCTCCAGGAACACATCTATATCATTGCCTGGCTTCCTAGGTTTAGAAATAATCATGGTTAGTAAAAGATACTTGCACTTCTGACATATCCAGGGAGGTAGGTTGTAGATGGTGAGGATGACCGGCCAAGTGCTGTGCGAGCTGCTGAGGTCACCGAATGGATTCATCCCGTCGGTACTCAGCGCGAGCCTGACGTTTCTCGCCTCGTCGCCAAACTTCGGGAACTTGGCGTTGAAACACTTCCACTGCTTGGCATCGGAAGGGTGCCGTAGCTTGCCATCGTCCTTCATGCGCTCATCAGATGCATGCCAGGACATCAGCTTGGCATCCTCGGGGTTCCCGAATATAGCACGCAGGCGATCGATCATGGGCAGGTACCACATCTACAGGGCCAGACTTTTCCTCTGCATGTAACCCTCTTCTTCCTCGTCCTCAGGAGACAGGATCTACTTCTTCGCGGTACTCTTCTTAGCCGCCTTCTTCTTCTTCGGCCCTCTCTCGTCGTCTGCATCCGCGCAACAACCGGCATTCCTCTTGTACTGACTCGCGCCACAGTGCGGACAGCTCTGCAAGTTCTCATACTTGCTCCGATATAGGATACAATGGTTAGGGCAGGCGTGGAACTTTTTAAGCTTCATTGCCACTGGCCGGATCAGCTTCTTCGCCCGATAGGATTGGTGGCACCTTATTACCCTCTAGGTATGTGTTAGCAAGGATATGTAACAGGTCGTTGAAGCTAGTCCTAGACCAGCCATGGCAAGCCTTCAGCATCAACATCTGGAGGTTAAAACGCAGCGCCGTCCAGTGCTTCGGACAGTCCTTATAGAGGGGATCAATTGTCGCCTGCTTCATCTCTTTGAAATTCTCTAGCCACCTCGGGATCCCAAACAGAACGTCGTCATAGTCAAGATGGTTAGCGATTGACTCAAAAAGCTTCGCTTCCCCGGGATCCCTCATAGGCTCACCGCCATCCTCCCCATCATCGCCGCCCCCACCGCCGTCGTCGTCAGCCGTGTCTTGTAGCAAAACATCCATCGTGATGTAATCACGATCTGCATTGTCGCCAGTAGCAGCATTGTCGTGCCCGCCAGCCGCTGCTGATGAGGTTTGTTGTTCTGCATTCACCGTTGCCGTCGTCGTTGTCGACAAGTTTCCTCCAGATGCACAGGCACTAGGATCCTCTGCTTCCCCATGAAACTTTCAGGCGGTGTAATCCTTGACGAAACCATACTGGACCCATTGAGATTTCACCACGTTATCTTCGTGCAGTAGAAGGTTCTTGCAGCTCTTACACGGACAGTGTGTTCCCGCTTCAGACTCAGACGATGCTTTTTCATAGCGGCAATAAACTTTGTTTGCACTACGCGAGGTAGAGTCTCGGGAATTTTGTTTTTTATGAGAGAGGAGGCCAAAGCGGAGTTGGATGCCGCGTCCGACAGGACTAACGCCCGCGTCTAAGCGTTTCCGCGGAAAGGTGCACTTAGACGAAGTACTAGCATGACATCAAATGCCACAACGCAGACATATACGTGCGGGGACCAGCGCAGTGCTACCCAGCTGCTGCAACTTTTTGCTGCGATGCAGAGTTCTTTTTCCAACCGCAAGCCTTGTCTGCCAAGTAGCCTGATACCCTTTCTGGTTGGACCGTTCCAGTAGTCGTTGTGGTTCATCCCCTCAGAGTTTACGATGGTGAGGATATACTTAGGGCCTGTATAGTTGATAAGAGACCTATGAGAAGATGGTTTCGTCGCTAGCGACGGGTCTCTAATGAAGGATCTAAAATACCCCCGCTAATAAAAACTATTAGCCAACTTTGTTCCGCTGGCTGCTAACTATTAGCACTAGTGGATCTAAACAGCGTCTCGGTGTTCCGCTGCTTAAACTGAAACGTGTCAGACATCTGAACTACTATAAAAAAACATTGTCAGTCACTAGTCTTTATAAAAAAATATCGGAATTAATCACTAGTAGTTGTCATTCTCATTCACAGGCTGCCTCTACTAATGTCATATTGAACTACTGAACAAGATGAGCTCGCACCACAACTTGTCGAGCTTTGCTTTCTGCAAGTCTTTATATTCCTAAAATCCCCACATCCCCAATTCCAGATATCTGCTGCTTGAAATTTCATGGTTTCTGAATATTATATTCACACGCAGGCTACTGATGAGCATCATCTGGAGATCAACGATGATTCTATGAGATCCAGAACGCATCAAGTCCGTAGTAGGCTCATTGGTTGAGTCAACATCCGACCTTCACAGGCTTGCAACGCGTGTACAACAGCACATATATATTGCAATGCACGCTCGCGCAGATTCTCTGCTACTAGTAATCAGAACGTAACAGCATCATATATAGCTGGCCAATTATTCAGGAGCCACACATCTGATGCCCTAAACAAATGCACATACACGTGGATCATATATCAGAGCAGGTTGAGGAGAGTACGCTGCAACTGCAAACAAGCAGGCAATGCACAACTAAAATACATGACATGAGGACTGTCATTAATGATTAATCCACCGTGTAATGACATGACGAGATTGGACCTGGATAACCAAACGCGGAGCCTGGAGGTGAGCAGAGTCAACTATACGATGCTAATGCTATTGATCATTCCTCCAACAGCAACCTGGTTGTTGATTGATCCATCTCAGTATCTCACAATCTCGATGAGATGCTAATCTCACCTCCAGAATCCACAAGATTTGATGGAGATCTTGAGGGCCTCTTTACCATTTAAGAGTCTTTTTGGAGATTACACAATCCAACGCAGACGCTCACAATATAATATTCTCACTCCAAACCTTGTTGCTTCTCCTTTACGCGTGTCTCACAAGGACAATATTTTTTTTCTTTAGTTATTTGGCTAAGAGCCAATTGCATATGAAGAATTATGCCATTTACAATATATAGCTCGTCATTTCAATTCATCAAGCTGACTAAAGTATGCAATTATCCTGATATATATTCATTCTTATGAGGCTCATCAAATGTTACACTTAGACACATCAAATGCTCCTAAGGAGAAATAAAGTGATATACAAAAGTAGCAAAAGAAAACCCTAAGCTCTGTGTAAATTACACAAGTATATACATATCTAAAGATTATAAGGTAATCAAATGTGACAACAGGGACCGTGGACCTGAAGCTTAGCCTCTCTTGGATAATTTTCTGTACACTTCCTATCGTATATACTCATCAAATTGTTTTGATCATCAGCAAATCCTAGCTCTAGAGTCATCCTGTTCAGCTCTAGCCTCTAGAGTCATCTCTAGCTGCAGTTGGGGTTATGATAAGCATAGGATGTTTCAATAATTGGCAGCAAAATCATCTGCACGGGTGCATAGTTTAGTGTTACATTCAGATCACGAGATCGGAGAGCAAGGTGTGCAATAAGAAGAGCGGTTGGCTACGCTGGTTGATGCATGCTAGGGGAAGCAACAGTTGACTTCAGCGGCGTTCTTGTTGCTTCATGTCATGCTGTTTGTTTTTCTCCTGCCTGCTGTGCGTTAAGCATTTAGAATCTGAATTCTGCAATTTCATGATGATCCACATGCCGTCCAAATTTAGTACGCATTGGCAGCTTATCTATTGCTGATCAACTATTGATTGCGAGTTCGAATCTCATTGCTGGAGCTGGCATGCTATCGGTTAAGGGGAGCAAGATCCACTTCATTAGGATCTTATGCCTATTGTTGATACTAATGGTGGCCAATAATGGACCAATAATGATGAGCACCTTCTGAAGAAACTTCAACTGCAGTAGCCCCATTCCAGTGATTGTTCTTTTTCTTTACCAGTCAGGACTCGGAGACGAAAAAGTTAAAAAAAAACAAGTCAATAAAATTGACAGCAGGAAAATTGACCCAAAACTTTGCTTTCCAGCATAGTATATTTTTGTACACTTTCTCTCATATAAATACATCAAAATTGTTTCCATGATCAGCAGATCCTCTAAAACGCAGATGCTAATCACAGGGATTAGAGTTGGTATATGATCTATCTACAAGGTGAGAGTGTTCAGAAGAGAAACTCTGCTCTGGATCAGTGTCCTGAACAAAGTCGCAACTCCACTCTCAAGATCAACAATGTCCAACTCCAACACCTGCAATTGCTCCTCCTTGCACACAACTTTCTTCTTCTCAAATGCCATGGACACAAGAGACCACTTGCTAGGGCATCGCGATCTTCTTTGAGAGGAGATGTGATGTTGATTCGAGCATCGACACAGCAATCTCCCTTGCTTCAGCCAACAACATGACTACCCTGCATCCTTCAATGTCAGAAGCAGCCTTGCTATTGATCTTCTTGAACTGCTTCTGTGCCTTCTTGGCCAAGCGGGCATAAGATTGAACCTTGACCTGAAGAGCCGCATTGTCTCCTCTCTTGAGAACCAGCTGCATCTCCTGGACGCTGACCTTGAGCTCTGCAAAGTTCTCTTGCATGGCGTTGCAGAGGTCAAGCAGGACAAGAGAGCGCTCGAGCTCCTCCTCCACTGCCTTCCTCTGCTGATTGTTGGGCAAAAATGTGAGCTCGTCGATGCAGCTGTAGATGCTCACGATCTTGTTCAGACCATCAAACATGGTTTTGATGGCCACTGAAGGTGAGGAGATGGCTGCCTTCAGGCTCAGCAGCTGTTCATCGATGTTGGCTTTGTTAGAGCGAGGGCTGGAAGGCACGCTCGCGGACCTAAGGTGGCAAGCCATGATTTGAATGGAGGCTGAAGCTGTGAAGCTTCTTTTTTCTTGGAATGGAGAAGAGAAAGCAGGCTGCGGCAATGGTGATCTTCCGGGCTTTGGCTTTCCTCTTTATATAGCAAAAGAGGTGGAAGCAACCGCATAGCTGAACCAGCAGACAGCGAGGATCATTCTCATGTGTGTAACCAACTGATGAACTTCAATAGAAGCCACCAAACCCAAGAAGCATCACAAACTTAGCTTGATTAGGAGGCTGTCATGTCTGCAATATGAGCGGCAAACTCGCCTGCACGGTTGAAGGGCAGCAAGATGAGCATCTGATCCAGATCATGAGATGATTGATTAACAGGCAAGTTGCCACTGGAGGAAGGAACAGCTAGATGCCCTTGCTCGCCTCCAGCTCCAGGTTCCCAAGCTAGTTGCATTTAATCACCCGATTCCAATATAATCACATCATTACATGGTGGATTAGTGAAGATAGTGATAGTCCTGTAGTCATGCCTCTGCTCTCCATTGCCAGTCATGTTGCATGTCTCTGCTCTCCATTGCTTGTGCACTAGCAGTGTATATGCTTGGCCATCCACGTGTTTCTGCAATATTTATAGTCCTGAATAAGCATAGCTTTGCATTTACCTGAATACAGGCTACTTTCAAAAACAATGTAGGCTCTATTGCGCTATGACACAACACTGCATTAAAAGAATTGTAGTCCAGATAGCGGTGTTTAAAGCCTATTCTCTCATCTACCCATCCCATTTTATGTGATCCAGGTCCATATTTAAAGGATTCACTAATCTTTTTTACTGCAAAATGGATTTGCTAATCATCTAAATAGATTTCAATGTGCAGAACAGGAAATGTATATAAGTAGGTGGGAACTCCCCCTCCAATTGATCGAAAAAATGTATATAGCAACTTTTATTTTTCAGAGAAGTTCATATGTATATACATACAAATACTTTCTTTATTACGCATGTGTATCAGTGTGTTCCATTATAGCTATTTTGATTTTCTGGGACTGATCCATTCACTCATGAAACAAGGATGGATGATTGAGCAAGGATTCAAATGGACCTTGGTGGAAACACAGCAACAGAGGGAAAATAGCAGAGTGGAGCACTGTTTTTTCCACATTTCCTTTCCCTCTTCATTTCAAACATTGGAGCGGTTGGACAGTGCTTGCAGCCTGTCTTCCTGTCTGGACAATTCATGTTGCAAAATGCCAATGTTGGTCCAACATCAGCCCCACTAAAAATGTGGTCCGGCCTACCCAAAGATGCAACTGAAACATGACAGCAATGTTGCATAACGAGGTTAGTCATCCCGTAATGTTGAAGCATATGTGCACCTAATAGATGTAACCCAAACAACATCATTGTGTACTGTTTTGCCTCCAACAACTGAGGCATGACAAGCTCATACATTATTTAGATGTCTGAATCATTCAAAAGAAAAGAATCAACCTGCCGTAGAGATGGACAGCAAACTCACAAGCAACTGGACTGGCATGATTCTTCTTGTCTGCTGATTCAAGTTTGTAGTGCTTCTACTTCTTTCATTATATATAGAGAGAACCCCAAGGAGAGTAGACACCATTAGAGCACCATTCCTCTCCCCTCCTCTACAAAGAAGATTGTTAGATAATCTACTGTTTTCTTGTGTGAACACACAGTAAGGGAAGGCGGCGCCGAAAAGACCCCCTGTTGTGGTACAGTAGCCGCTGCAGAGGCAGGCGCCGAACGGCTCACCTGCCGCACTGTAGCCACATACAGGGACAGGCGCAGAAGTCAGTCCTGTTGTGTTATCTAGTTACTATTACAGCATGTGCACTGTACTAGGACTAAATGGCTAGACTTATATAAATAGACTACCACGGCAACTCAGTAAAAAGAGTTCAGATTTGTCATCTCCCATACAGGGCTTCGGCCAACGCTGGTGTCTTGTACTGTGTGTGTATGCTCTGTTCTCCCTCTTCTTCAACCTCTAGCCATAGTGTGTGGGATGGACAACGCTTGTTCGTGGTCGGCATAGCTAGTGGGTGCTCGGCAACACTAGCGGGTGCTCGGCAAGACTAGTGAGCGGTCGACTCACCTGAGCCGGTGATCCTGTGGGCTAACAAGTGGTATCAAAGCCGTACGAACGCCGTTGCTAGACTAACCGCTGGCAATGACGAACAATTCAGAGATGGGTGACAGCAGTGGCACTACTGTGGCTGCCTAGTCAAGACCGGAGGTCGTTGTTCGCACGGTGCGGGAGGTCAGCGGCACCAGTTGGCTGCCGCTGACTTGCACCAACTATGGAGAGTGGTCGGTGACCATGAAGGTCAAGCTCAGAGCCCGACGGCTCTGGAATGTTGTTGACAAGGGCACCGATAATGAGGAAGATGACATGTCAGCGTTGGAGGCTATCCTTGATGCTGTGCCGGCGGAGTACAGGGAGCCGTTGGGGGCGAAGAGTTCTGCTAAGGAGGCATGGGAGGTTATTGCGGTGATGCGCGTCGGTTCCGACCGCGCAAAGAAGGCGACGGCCCATCTCTGAAGTAGGAGTACATCAACCTCAAGTTCAAGGATGGTAAAATGGTGGAGGACTTCTCCCTCCGCCTGCAGACACTCATCAGCAAGCTGAAGAGCCATGGCGTCACCATCGACGAAGATGAGACGGTCTCCAAGTACCTCCACTCTATGCCGACAAAGTACATCCAAATCGCTCTCTCCATAGAGACAATGCTAGACTTGTCCACCCTCACCATTGAGGATGTGACAAGCCGTCTGTGGGCGGTGGATGAGCACCTAGAGCAGGCGACAGCAACGAAGGACAGCAGCAAACTGCTGCTGATAAAGGAGGAGTGGGCTGCTTGGAGGAATTCCGGGAAGGCAGCCTCCTCCAGTCACGGTGGCGATGGCAAGCGCCACGGCAAGGCTTCTTCGGAGAAGAAGTAGGTCGACCCCAACGTCTGTCGACGCTGCGAGAAGATGGGCCATTGGACACGGGAGTGCCCAAATCGCAAGCAGGAGAAGAAGGCTGAGGCTCATCTAGCGCAAGCTGATGATGATGATGATGAGGCCACTATCCTGATGGCAACGTTCTGTGCACTGCACGACGAGGCCGAGGAGAAGGAAGAGACGACAACAGTGGAAGGACCTGGGAAGGCCCTGAAGACTGTCAACCTCGACGAACCGCGCGCCCAAGTCCACCTCAGACGTGTGGGCGCCGACCACTAGGAGCAGCGGTGATATCTGGACTCTAGTGCCAACAACCACATGACGGGCTCCAAGGCATCCTTTTCTAAGCTCGACGACGATGTTACCGGTACGGTGAAGTTTGGTGACGGCTCACGGGTGGCAATCCAAGGGTGCGGCACCATCATCTTTAGGTGCCAGAATGGGGAGCACCGCGCGCTAACGGATGTATATTACATCTCGCAGCTACGTTCCAGCATCATCAGCATTGGTCAGCTAGATAAGCGCGGTAGCGAGGTACTGATCAAGGATAGAGTCCTTAGGATCAGGGACCGAGAGCAGCGACTTCTTGCCAAGGTGAAGAGGTCCTTGAACCGGTTGTACCTGCTCGACCTGAAGGTAGAGCAGCCGGTGTGCCTGGCGGCAAGGCACACCGAGGAACCGTGGATGTGGCATGCCCGGTTTGGACATCTCAGCTTCGACGCGCTTGGTCGGCTAGAGAAGATGGTCCGAGAGCTACCCCAAATCAAGCACGGAGGCGAGCTATGTGACAGCTGCCTGGCTGGGAAGCAGAGGAGGCTACCATTCCCAAAGGCGGCCAAGTATCGCACGAAGGACGCTCTCGAGCTCGTCCACGGCGACCTCTGCGGGCCGATCACGCCAGCTACAAACGGTGGTCGGTGGTACTTCCTCCTGCTCGTGGATGATTGTAGTCGCTACATGTGGCTGCAACTCCTGACGAGCAAGGACGAAGCGGCGGCGGCGATCAAGAAGTTCAAGATGCGTGCGAAGGCCGAGAGCGGCAAGAAGCTCCACGTGCTGAGGACTAATTGCGGCAGCAAATTCACTTTCATGGAGTTCGCTGCGTACTGCGCGAACCAGGGTGTGGTGCGACACCACACCGCGCTGTACTCGCCACAACAGAATGGCGTGGTGGAGAGGCGGAACCAAATGGTGGTCGGCATGGCCTGATCCATGATGAAGGCCAAAGGCATGCTGGTAAGGTTCTGGGGAGAGGCAGTGACCACGGCAATGTTCATCCTCAACCACGCTCCGACCAAGGCCCTAACGGGCAAGACGTCGTTCGAAGCTTGGTATGGGCGCAAGCCGAGCATGTCCTTCCTTCGGACATTCGACTGCATCGGTCACGTCAGAAAGACGAAGCCGAACCTCACCAAGCTAGAGGACAGGAGCACACCAATGGTGTTCCTGGGCTACGCAGAGGGTACCAAGGCATACCGGCTCTACGACCCACGCAGAGACAAGGTTCTTGTCTCGCGCGACGTCATGTTCGACGAGAAGGCGGCTTGGGACTAGAGCAGTCCGAGCACGGGGGGAAGCTGGCGGCTTCACCAGCACCTTTGTCGTCGAGCACTTGGTCATCCACGGTGGTGGAGACACTAGGGAAGAGGTGTCGAGCACTCTGGAAGGGGTGCCGAGCACTCCAGCGGCAGAGCTGAGCACTCCTGGGGCAGTGCCGAGCACTTCGGGAGGAGTGCTGAGCATTCGAGAGGAGTGTTGAGCACTCCTAGAGGGATGCCGAGCACGTCAGGAGTGGCGCCGAGAGGTTCTGCAGTGGTGGCGACCACTCCAGGACGGATGCCGAGCACTCCCATGGCGGAGCCAAGAGGTCTTGCAGTGGTGCCGATCACTCCAAGACTGAGGCTAAGCACTCCTACAGTGGTGCCGAGCACTGTAGGAGTAGTGACAAGCTATCCAGAAGTAGTGCCGAGCACTGCAACTAGGGTGCTGAGCACTCAAGGTGCTGTGCCGAGCACTCCGACGGAACAGGGAACTCCATCGACGCCGATCGAGTTCGCCTCACCTCCT